TCGTGCCAACTCAAAATACCTCTGTGCGCAAACACTCCAGCATTTAGACCACAACGCCCCCTAAGAAATAAATTGTAGGACGCCTCTCAGCACATTCCCTAGATAGTTCTATCATCAATTCAAAGAGTCCCCACCACCACCATCCTACAGATCAAATGCTGTGTTCACCTTTCTACAGAAACACTCAGCTTTCCATTGCCTTTCCTCATATCCAGTTCCTTTGCTCCAGGTTCCAAAGCAAAGGTATCTTGGCTAAACTAAATCTATTTGGTGTCAAGCAGAAACAATCCCCTCCAACCCACCCCTTGCTTTTTTTTTTTTGGTCTTCAGACAGTAAGACTAAGACAAGCAAATAGACTACTTTATATTTGCATAGAGCTTTGTAATTTGCAAACCACCCACATGTTCATGATCTCACCTGTACCTTGTAACAACCCAAAGAGAGAAGCCTACTCCCTCTTCCTAGTAAGGAATGCTCTCCCCATGGGAATGGCACATAGTAAGCACACACCAAGTCCTAGCTACTAGCCATTGGCTATGGTCTGAATGTTTGTGCCACCTTTATTCACATGTTGAAATGCTCACCCAAGAAGATGGTATTAGGAGACAGGTCTTTCAAGGGTGATTGATTAGGTCATACGGGCAAAAGCCCTATTAATAGGATGAGTGTCCCTATAAAGTGGCTGGAGAGATCCCCTTCTCCCACCACGTGAGGTTACAGTGAGGAGAAGTTGAGCGTGAAGCAGAAAATAGGCCCTGACCAGACCCTGAATCTGGTAGCGCCTTGATGTTGGACTTCCCAGCTTCCAGAGCTGTAAGAAATAAACTGATGTTGTGCATAGAATATCCAATTTATGGTATTTTCTTTTAGCTACCCTAATGGATTAAGATACCCATAAACACAACAAATATTATTTTACCCAACTAGGGAAGCTGAGGCAAGAAGATCACTTGTGCCCAAGAGTTTGAGGTTGCTGTGAGCTATGACACCATGGTACTTTACC